CACAGTCCCTTCCTTCCTTCCTTCCTTCCTTCCTTCCTTCCTTCCTTCCTTCCAACCCCTGTATCTATCCATCTACCTATCTATCTACCACCCATCCACCCTACCTTTCTAGGGCCCATTTATCTTCGTCCACAATGGGCTTTGCTCCCTAGTTCTATCATAATGCCAAAGTCGGGGTTTCTGCGTGGATGCTGCTTTGTCACAGAGATATGAATGAAATCTCATTACAAAATGCAGAATATGTGGACTTGTTGAAAAACAACAGGAATTATTATATTTCTTCAAAGAAGCCATGTGCACGGCAAAAGAATGGATTGTGGGGCAGGCACAAGCTAGCTAATACCTGATAGTCGTGCATGCCCTCCTTCACTGTTAATTGCGCTGCTGTTAACAGAAGCCTGGAAGGCTGAAACTGGAGAGATGTGAGGCACGATGGGGGTGGGGTCTGAATGTCTAATGAGGAGCTGAGGAGAAGGTAGACGGCAAAAAATTGCAGAGAGAGCAAGAGAAGTAATGGGCTAGGAAATGAAAGGTGGGAGCAAAAGGCTAAGGAAGGGTGGATGGGGACGACAAGGCACGTAGGGGTCAGCCGAAGAGAAAGGAAGCCTACTGGAAATATGTCAGAGTCCCTTTCCTCAGACATATTAGCTATGCTGCTATTCTGTCACAGAACAGTCTGAACCATCCTGAGAAGGTGTGAATCAAACTCCAATTCACCATGACAGCCAGATTCAGGTACCTGGGAATACTGGAGTTGGTTTGTTGGTTTCTACCCACAAATCAGAATTCTAATTAGCCGTTTAATCCCAGCTGGGGGTGGAGGAAGAGACTCCAATTCACCCAAGTGCCTGCAATTGATCTTCATTGCACCTCTGCACTGCTTTGAAAGACTTCTCCAAACAACATTCAAACAAGAGTCACATCCAAACAACATTCAAACAAGAGTCACAGCAGCACGAAACTGATTTAGAAATGCAAATACAGATTCAAAGGTGAGGAGAGATGAGTCGTGCTGCATGTTGATTAACCAATTAGAATCCACCTGTAAGGATCCTATTTCCAACTTGCTGATAACTGGCTGCATACCAACTCCACTGTCCCAAGCTTGGAACTGGACCTCATTTCTTTGTACTGGTAGAAAATGACCCAAGGCTATTGGCTGATTTCTTGAGATTCCACAACCAGCCCTTCACTCTGGTTTCTGAACTGGAAGGAGCTTCACTACATCTTCCCCTTCCACCTCATGTCAGCCTGCCTCTCAGGGACCCCTGAATCCCAGATGCTCAAGGGATCAATTATTCAGGCACTCTGTACTGCTTGGCTGACTCATAAAGGAAGCGCTCTCTGCTCCCTGTTCTTTGTGGATGACTGAGCATGTGACAGCTAGCCCGTGCCTAACCATTCACCTGCTCTTACGCTGTGGAGCATAGAATTTTGTTGCCCAAGGGGAACGCTTGTCAGAGGAGAGGCTAAGGCTTAAGTGGCTCTAATTGTCTCCTGTAGCCCTTATGAGGCCAATTAGGGAGGAGCATAGAGAAGCACAAGGGATTTCCCATGCACTGAGAGACAGTTGACCATAGGTTATTAGCATAAACTGCCACATACGTATTGTTTTCAGTGGGGCCTCCGTGGGGTATACTTAGAGAAGAAGAAGAAGAAAAGAAGAGATTGGGTTTATACCCCGCCCTTCACTACCCAAGGGAGTCTCAGAGCGGCTTACAAACTCCTTTCCCTTCCCCTCCCCACAACAGACACCCTGGGAGGTAGGTGGGGCTGAGAGAGCTCTGACAGAAACAGCTCTTTTTCAAGGACAGCTCTTATCAGAACTAAGGCTTGCCCAAGGTCATCCAGCCAGGTGCAAGTGGAGGAGTGGGGAATCAAACCCGGTTCTCCCAGATTAGAGTCCGCGCACTTAACCACTACACCAAACTGGCTCTTAGGCACCTTGCCAGAGATTTGTCTTATTGTGCAAAAAATCCATATGTTTCCTCACCCCAGTTTTGTTCCCAGCACTAAAGCTGCACTATGTTATCACTGGGAACATGGGATTTAAAACAAAAACGGACCTAGAGATATGCGAAACTCTATTGAGAATTCTGGTGACTGTCCCGAAAATCCTTCACCTTCCTTCAAAATTCCCAAGATGTTTTACTTGAACTTTACCTCAGATTTCATTTTACCTGAGAAATTCTAAGGCAGCTTTGGGTTTCTTCCACATTAGGCTAATGCATTCATTACAGGTTTGAGTGTGGTTGCAATTTTTTGGAAATATCTTTTGACATAAACTTTTTGATATTATCGGTGATAAGCGATATTGCTCTTGTCCTTCCTCCTTCTATGTGATGCCATTTTATGAACTACTAAAGGATTTTAAAGGAATTTCTTGCCTTCTGATTTGACCTGAGATTGACCTGTCCATAAATCAGAGCAAGTAAGGTTGTGCTTAGGTTCACATGGGCAGAACAACAGTGCTCATATTCCATGTATCTTCTTGGTATCTGTGGTATCATTGCATTTGGAATCCTGAGAATATCTGTTTCATAAAAAAGAGAGACTTGCCTAAATCATGAGTTTGTTGTAAAGCACAGATGTTCTAAAACATGGAAATAAGATTGAACTAAGATGGGAAAGGCTTCAATTAGTCAGAGAAGCAGTAATGTCTTCTTTTTCATTCATTCATTAAATTTAAATAAATGTGCATATTACCAGGATATCAGTCCCCTTCCTGTGGTTCCGCCTACCTAAATGTGATTGATAATTTCCCCCCCACTTCCATAGTCTTCTTTCATTTTTACGGTTTTGGCAATCCAACATTTGCCAAAAGTAGTTTCAAGGTATTTTAAACTCTGATTCTGAGAATATACACAAATATTGTTTTGTCTTCCTTAATTTGGGATCAAGAATTGAAGCTTTGTTTGGTTAGTATTCAGTCTTTTCTGGAGTAGAATACCCACTTTCCTATTTGTAAATGGGAAAGAAGGATGGTGAGGCTTACTGTCTTGAGACACAGATGCCACCTAGAGAAAGTTACAGTGCAGTCCTGAAAGTACTTCCCTGGGAGGAGACCTACTTAGGATTGCTGTGGAAGTGTGCTTAAAAGGACTTCATTTTGATTTCTTGTATTTTCACGTTGCAGCCCCAGTTGGTGGAAGATTTCCGTGCCCTAAGAAAGACAGCAGAGGATATGAACTTATTCAAAGCCAGTCCTGTGTTTTTCTCCCTTTATCTGGGTCATATTCTTTTGATGGAAGCTCTGGGATGGCTAATGGTTTTCTACTGTGGTGCTAACTGGATCACAACCTTACTTCTTTCTATCATCCTTGCAGTCTCTCAGGTGAGGAGATGTTGAATGAACAATTGTTTGTCTTCTCATTCATTTAGTTATTCATTCCATCTAAATAAATATGTATATCACCACAGCCTCAATCTACGTGTTCCTTTTCAAGGTACTGAACAGCAAGATAAAATACAGTTTTATAACTAAAAGGTTTCAGTTCTTGTTAGCCTATCTTTAATATTCTATGCTTCCTTCCCTGCTACAATAACAGATCCAAACCAAATCAAAGAATAATGTATCAAAGATCCAAATCAAAGAATAATGTATTTGATTCTCAGTCTCAATGATAAAATTTAGTCCCCGTGAATTTGTCAGGTTCCCAGTCATTTCACTCTCCACTCAGGCTTTCTTGAGAGAAAGTTTATTAAAGAGATCTGAGATGCGGAAAACATGAACTCTTTGTCAGGACTGAGGAACAGAGGCAAGAACCCGGTGTATAACTAAAACCCACATTCCATGCATACGTCACGCAATCATAAGTCTAAGCAAATCTATGAACCCAGACAGATACAATAGTTCAGCTAGCCATTCAAAAGTCTTACCTTCTTCAAGGACACTCTCATGCGAAAGTTCCGTGAGGTGCTGCTTGGGAAAAAGGTTACAAGCGTTGCCTCCCTAAACTACAGACATTCACACAGTCTCTCTCCCTCTCCCCCTCCCACCAGGAATGTCAGCGAGGGTGAGCGATAAGCGGACAGCTGGATCCATCTTGCTCTAGCCAAGGGAAAAAGCGGAGAGGGAGAAGGGGTGTGTGGGGTACAGAAAATAGGTTGCTTCAGGTACAGGTATAGAAAACGTAGCAGGAGGCGAACCTGTGTCTGACAGAATTAATCAACACAGAGGGCAGTCCTAAGCAGAGCTACACTCTTCTAAGTTCATTGATGTCAATGGGCTTAGAAGGGTGTAATTCCACTTAGGATGGTGCTAACAATCCTGCTTTCTCTGCGGCTGCATCAACTTCTATGGCTGCACACAGCACTACATCCGACGCAGTAAATGGCAACACAAAGGCCTTTGCTACACAAAGTGGCCCTGCACACACTTGCTAGGCCTGTGGGAAGCTGAGGTAAGCTGTTCATGTGGACCGCCTCTTTCTCAGTGACAAAGAGTAGAGGCTAGGAAACATACCGACAAATGAGACAGGAACCAAGAGAATAAAATAGGCAGGCTGGGTTTGTCCCCATCTCCTCTCCTTTTTCTATCTTCCAACGGTATAAGGAAGAGGAAGGGGCATAGAGGAGTAGGCCAGTCATTCCCAGTTGCTTGCTGGGGTGTTTTCAATGCGCCTAAATTTTTATGATCAGTCCACACCTCAAATGGCACCCAGGCCCCTTCTAACCAATGTCTCAAGGTGATTAGGGCTAACCGGATGGCTGCTGCATCTTTGTCCCACACCGCCCAATTCCGCTGTTTCAGAGGACTTCCAGGAGACATAGGCGAGCAAGTGAAGATTCCCGTCCTCCCCCTCCTGCAAGATCGCCCCCCATGGCAACATCCAAGGCGTCTACTTGCACCACAAAGGCTTGTTTTCACCGAGATGCTGTAGGATCAGCTTGGAGGTGAACAGAGTCTTTAGCTTGTTGAAAGCCTGTTGGCATTCTTGGGACCAAGTCAGTTTATAGCCCGGTTGTGACTCTCAGGTCCCCTCCCCTTTGTCATTAGCAAGTCTGTTAGGGTCAGTGCAACCTGGACAAAGTTTGGGATGAAGGGGTAGAAATTGGCAAGCCCTAGAAATTATTGTCGCTGCTTTCAGGTTTTGGGGGGGTTCCCACCCCAAGACATCCTGGACTTCCTTTGGGTCCATCCCCAACCCCTTCCTGGAAATGCGGTAGCCTAGGAAGTCCTCTTTATGGAACTCACACTTGGACAGCTTGGCAAACAGTCTGTTCTGGTAGAGTGCTTGTAATATGTCCTGGACTAGCTGCACGTGGGAGGTTTTATCTTTAGAATAGATTATTTATTTATATTTATTTATTTATTTATCAAATTTATACCCTGCCCTCCCAGCTATGGGAGATATCACCCAGATAAACTAAGACCCCCTTGAACAAGTACTTATATAACACTTCGTTGATTAAGTTCATAAGGACTCCTGGGGTTCCCACAAGCCTGAACGGCATCGCCAGGTATTCAGATGACCAAGAGGGGTGTTAAAGGCAGTCTTGTGCTTGTCCCCCTCCCAGATGAGCACTCAAAAATAAGCGTCTCTGAGATCCAACTTAGTAAAAATCTGACCCTTGGCAGCCTCAGCCAAGAGGTCTTTGATCAGGGGAAGGGGGTAGGCATTTGACATGGACATGGCATTCAACCCCGATAGTCTGTACACAGCCTTAAACCCCCTGCCTTTCGTCTTACGGAAGAGAATGGGGGCTGCGAACAGCAAGGCCACTGGCCTGATAAATCCCCTGGCCAGGTTTTTGTCATTGAATGCCCGTAGGTCCTCCTTCTCTGCCAGACTCATAGCATACAGGTTCCCCTTCGGCAGTTTGTGTCCCGGCAGGATCTCTGTAGCACAGTCTGTTTTCCTATGAGGAGGAAGCTCATCTGCCTTGTCCTCCTCAAACACATGGGCTAGATCTTGGTATTCCACTGGAATAAGGTTCAAGTCCTCGAGGGCCAGGTAAACTCACACCAGCTCGGGGTGAGGTCCCCCCCCCCATTCTGGGTTCCAGGTGTGTTCTCTACACCTGGGGTCTGTAAACTGTAGGGTACCACTGCTCCACTGGACATGCAGGTCGTGATCCCAGAGCCACAGTCCCCCCCAGGACCATTGGAAGTTTAGCCGATCGGTTGACCACAAAAGTCTGTAGTTCCCAATGGGTCCCCACCAGTGGCGGTACCATGCTGAAATGGCAAGCTCCCTTCATTGGGGTCCCATCTATCTTGGAAAACATGATCAGTTTCAGTTCCTGTATCTTAGCTCCCAATCCCATCACTAGGGTGGGTGCTAATCAAGTCCCGGATGCACCCAGAGTCTATCAGGGCACACACCCACTTGTGAGTACCCATGGCAGGGTTAACTACAGTCACAGTCAAATAAAATGGGTGAAGCAACTCTCACCGATTCTGGTGCTGGTGGGTTTCGGACCTGTCATTTAGCGCCCTTCAGAGCAGGTCCCAGCCTTTTCTCGCCAGGTGGGGTGGTTCCTTGGTGGACGAGCTCCCTTCAGTCTCTCCCCGCTCTCCCAACTGGAGAGCCTTCGATAGTTGAGGCCGAACCCTGAGGAGTTTTCCCTTCTTCTCAGAACTTCATCACTTCTCTCTCTTTGGACTGCTCACAGGCCCCTCCCACAGGCAGTTAGCGGCAAAATGCCTGGGGGCCCCACACCGGTGACAAAGGCCTTGGCGCATTCACTGGTCCCACTCTCTGTCCTTGGCATAGACCCACTGACTCTTGAGTTCCACAGACGGTAGCTTTGGCCCCAGTTGGGATTGGTATAGAGACAGAAGTTTAGACTGCTTCTGGAGGACGGCAGGCAGGACTGCGCTGCAGCGACACGGTTGGAACCGGGAATTGCTCCTGGATACCACCAGCTCTTCATTTGTTTTAGAGGAGTTTTTGGGAGACCCCAGACACCACTGGACCTCTTGAAGAGAGGTCTGGCATAAGGGGCTTGATTCAGGCCCCCCACTTTGACACGAGTGGGTGGATGCCCTGGATCGTCCCAGAAGCAAGCAACGAAGCAGCACAGTGATGGCAGACATCATTGTATCAGCTGTGAGCGCCCCGAAAGAGAGTTACTTTGAGCCTCATCCAGAACTTCGACGAAGATATCCACCGTAAGTACATTTAAAAGCAACATCGAAAAACCAATGACTTTTTGATTAAGCCCCTTTAAAATTTTAAAAGTGTAAGGAGCGAAAGGGTGAAACTCCCCTCCCTCCTACCTTCATGGAGCGGCCGAGAAAATTCATGAAAGGAAAGCCGGTTTAAATATCTCTTGGGGGCCAAGAGGCGCTAATTGTCTGAGCCTTTATAGAAGGATTACAAAGTGATTTTCGAGAATAAAAAGAAATAAAAAAGGTACTTAGAGCTGAACCGGCTATTCTTCTGGCAACTTTTGATGACCTCATGCTATAGTGTTGAGAATGGAGCAGTTTATTGTGTCTAAAGCTACCAAGTACTGGAACTGTGTTGAAGGACTCTTGGTTGTTATTACTTCACTGAGAGCGACTATCGGCTAATTGTGCCCAGCGCTGAAGAGATTGTGGATGTAGTTTGACTGAACTGAGATTCTGCTGGCATATTAAAATGGGTAAACAAGATACATGGGGGGAAATGCCAGTGGTTGCTTGCATCGGTAGCTCCACAGAAACCACCTTGCAGCAGCTGTCATGGGACAAGCTCCAGGCTTTAGTTGTTGAGGCAGTCACTTTGGGAATTCAAAAGGCTTTCGAGACAAAACTGGATAAAAAAGACATTATACCAAGTCAAGCTATGAGTAATACAAAGACATCTCAGCAAAAATTAATCCAAGAGGAAGAACACTTCTATCAAGATGACTTCACAAAGAAATGGAAGTTAAATACCAAACTGGCGAAGACCTAAAACAACACTACAATCAAGCTGAGTTAACCTACGACGAGTATAACAGATTTACTAAAAGTCTGCCAAAATCTGGAATCCTAAAACCTACAAAAGGGAAAACATCCCAGAGAGATGAAACAGAATTTATGGAATCCTTAGATACCCTAAAAATCCACTACCGTTGGAGATGCTTAAAAGAAATCTTTTCTACCTTTAAAGGGAAGAGGCATAGAATTATGACTTTACTGAAGATGAGAAGTTACAAAAAGAAGAAAAATTAAGATTTATAAATAAGACTGGATAAGGGAATGTCTGTTTATATGTAACTGAATAAGATGGGCTAGGGAAGTTGTAGCCATATGTAACTGAGTAACATTGAGCACCATTGAACTTTCTGATTTATATTAATTCTTAAATAAGTTTTCTGTTCTGGCTAGGGAACCCTTAGGCATATGTAACTAAGTAATCACTGAATCCCATTGAATGTCTTGTTTTAAACTAATTGTAGTAAGAAGCTTTATAATAGATGGTATTATAGAATAATTATGAATCTGTATTCAACTGAGGTAGGCTAGAGAAGTATATTGAAAAGTATCAATTAAAGATATAAATAAGATTGGTTTAAGGATCCCAGGAGGTTGTAGAACTGGGGAAGAATATATAGGGAATATAGGTAGGTCTAGAAAACCTTTTTAAATGATAGATTATCACTAAAATGTGAAAGAATGTAATGGGATATAAGAGGTAGACTAGTTATGTTATCAAATTTAGAATATATAGAAAAAGAAAGTTTGTGATCATGAAGTTGGGAAATGGTATAAATTTAGCTAATACTTAAATATATATATTTAGAAGACTATTATAGAATGCTCAGACAATGTATAAATAGAAGGAAATATGTTTTGTTAATTAATAGACATGCAAAATTGTAGATCTGTGCATTTTTAAACTTTAAAATTTCAAAGTATATTTAGAGTTAGAATGATAAGAGTTAATTAGATAAAATACTGGTTTATTAAATATAGGTTTGTAAAAATTATGGAAGGTGAGAATTTGGTAATTAGATGCATATGTATGAGATGATTTAAGAGATATGATGTTGTTGTTAATACTCTCATTTATGTTTGTCTGTCTATTAAATAATAATAATAATAAGTTTAGTCTGCTTCTCCACCTCACACACCCCTTGGATCATAAAAAAAACACAAAAAACAAACAAACAAACAAAAAAAGACATCCACGTTTCAGAGCTCCAGACCCCCTACATTGTACAGCCCCATGAACAAATCAGCTGGCGAGTCTCAAAGCCAAGAGCCGATATCGTCCACACAATGCTTGTCTGAGGTGAACGTAGGGTCCCAGTCTCTCAGGAACTTGAGCACTTGTAGGGCAAAAAAGGCCAGCTTCTCTGGAGTTCCACCAAACGTGGCTTCTAGGATTTCTCTGGGGCTGCCCAGTGGGGTGGCCTGGGGTGCCGGTTGGGCCTGTGCCACTGGCTGGGCATCCTGAGCTGCCCCTGTGGCTCCCACGGCTCCCACAGGAGCTTGGACCACAGCAGCAGCCCGCTGCCCCTGGTGCTCCGCAGATTGTTGTCGAGAGGTGTAGCAGCACCATGTGGGTCTCACACCACAGTTCTCCATTTCACTCCGAAATTCTTGCCTGAGTCTAGCGAACTCTGTCTGCTCGACCACCCGCAGGTGCTCTGGGTTGTCGTGGAATGATCAGGAGACCCAACGCTCCATCCAGTGCCACCCCTGACGTGGTCCCAGGGTCAGCAGCCAGCTTGACTCACCCCAGCATGGGGGAATGGGCCTGTAACTATTTCATGTTTAACTCTGTGTGTGTGTCTTTAAAAGTTTGGATGCATGGCTGTATGATAGTCTAGTGCTGGAATCAGGCAAGTTATATGATTGGTGAGTGACAGAGAGGGGGAGGGGTTTTGGAATGGATGCTGTGTGGAGGATTTGAATGTCTATCAAGAGGGTCAGTTAGATATGACTGTTGATGAAGATCAGTTAAGTTCTGATTTCTGGGAGAGAAGCAGAAGTTCTGTGTATGAGAGGAGTGAGACCCATCCCTGTGTGGGATGAGTTTAGTTCTGGGGTCTGAAGGAGAGACCTTCTTGTGTGTGTTATGAAAAGTTGAAGTATAAAGAAACAGTAACCGTATATGGCCTGAAGGAAAAAGTATTACAAAGTTACCTAAGGAAAAATCCCTGTCATTAGGGAGCAGACTGTGTGTTATACCTACTTTACTAGTTACATGATTCTACCCTTATATTTATGCTTTCTTTAAATAAATCCTATTTCATTCAAGTATACCAGCTCTGGAAAGAATCCTTCCTCAGACCACATAGTTCCTCGAAAGCTTAAACCCTCGATATACCTACCCAGTGATGAATATTATATTATAAAGGTTTGGAAAGCCTTAAATTTCCTGGTGGCAGCCGGATTGCCCAGTAGAGAAAAACATAAAGTACACTTTTAAAGGGAAACCAAACCTCCCCAGTAAAGGGGTCGTCACAGGGCCGGTCCTCCATCGGCTTTGCTCCTTTTCCTTTCCCCTTCCCCTCGTCCGAGGGGCTGGCGGCCTCCGCAGTCTGGGTTTTGTTTTAGGCACCATTCCTGGACCCGGGTTCCTCGCTTCCTTCACTCATCACGACGGTGGGGCGATGGGTCAAGGTAATGGGAGTTCTGACACTCTGTCAGACCCAGTACGTACTCAGTCTCAACAACACTCTTCAGATGCAAGATTTGGTTATTGAGATACGCAGTCGATACAGGTGTAAGCCAACTTTTGTTTGAACTGACAGGCCTTGGTGCCAAGCCCACTGTCATACTCACTTCAAACTACCCCCCTCATGCCATGGCCCAATCACACTTGTCAGACATCACGCCAAGCCGATGCACGGTCTCTCCCCCTAAGTTTTCCTGTCAGCACGCCTGGCAGTAAAGGTTTCAAGGACACTTCTTCTTCCCTTCTCGGAAGAGGCCACTTGGGGAAATGTTATGGGCATCTAGCAAAGCATGTTCCCACGCATTCCATTCCCCACGCACCCCCCCCCTTCCAGCACAAAGTGAAAGCATCACAGCAAGCAGAAAACATCATGGCAAACGAAGCACTGGGTTTGACACTCAGATCCTCTGTGCCCTACTCTTATGTGGAGAGAGCGGGTGTTTTTAAAATATATATATTTTATTGTAATAATTGCATACAAATACAAACGTGCAAAAGAAGGGATCCAAAAACATAAACAGCAAACACCACAGGGGAATAAGAACATAGTTATTAAATTAAACAGTAAGATTAAACATGTTGCATATACTCTACTATAAATGTTTTACTGCTTAGCTTTTATATATAGTTAAGAATGTATTGTCTGACGTTTTCATTAGTCTTGTCTATTCCAGTGTATTATGAAAGGTTGCCAGTTGTTGATCAATTTTTACTGCAGCCATCGCTTTACCTTCTGACATGTCGTTATATGCCTTGATTTTATCCATAAACATAATGTTCCATATTTTGCCAGGTTTTCACCCTAAAACTTTACTTAAATAATTTGGAAGAAGAGATTTCGACAATGAGGGGCTCATCAGAACTTTTATTATACTTATTTATACCCTGACTTTCTCTGTAATAGGGACCCAACATCATTTATCCTTACAACGATCGTGTGAGGTGGGTTAGGCTGAGAGAGTGCAATCGTCCCAAAGTTATCCAGTAAACTGCCATGGCAGAGCAGAACCTGCGTCTCCCAGTTCCTAGTCCAACAGTCCAACCACAAAGGCCTATTCAACTTCTGACTTAAGGCACAATGAGGGGATCCCCAAGCGATAGATAGCATCTGAGTACAGACTGACATCAGAGCAAGATCCCAGCAGCAGGAATCAAATGAAAAGGAGGAATAGAAACTGTTTTTTTTAAAAAAACAGCTTCTTAAATAGTTTTCAGACAATTTTCCCCTGTAAATAGAAAATCTCTGTATAGGAGAAAGATTACTTGTGACTGTCACCTTTGGTTACATTCCTTTCTAATGCACTTCACCAAAGCTGCTAGATCTCCTTGTGATAGCTTGGCTTTGAATGTAGACATCTGGAATGTCTTCTGCTTCAGTTTCAGGTGCCTTTGACATCATCAGTGTAAAGAAAACCAGATCTGTTTAGAGGAGAAAGCCCTTATAGCAGGGCAGATTTTGAGGTAGTTTCATATTTGCTGTAGTGTGCTTTTTCATTCTTATGATCATTCTCTTTCCTCCCAAGGCCCAGGCTGGATGGCTACAGCATGACTTTGGACACCTCTCTGTATTTAAGAAGTCTGTGTGGAACCATTTAGTCCATAAGTTTGTGATTGGTCACTTGAAGGTAAGGCTCGTTCCCATTAAGCATAATGGAAATAGCTGCAGCAAGAGATGATGAAGCTAGCTTAGCTTTTCCCTGGCAAGCTTTTCCATGGCAGAAATCCAAGAGGTAATGCATTCCTCATCACTGACAAATGCTTTACCTATTAAAGTTCTGGCATCCAGCTCTTAAAGGCATAAGAGACAAGGTACAAAACTACCTTGCCTGGAGCCCTGCTTGGTCTTACTTTATTCTATAAATATAAAGATAGTAAATTCTAGCTTCCAAGTCTGAGTCCTTACAATTAGAGGAAGAACAAGCAGAAATTAGGGACACAATTGCAGTGTTAGAAGGGCTTGTTGTAATGTCTATAGTGGAATATTGATGGTGACATGCTATTACTGTGCCTCAAGAAATACTAAATTAATGAAAGACCCTCTATGTAACAGCAGGATTGTTCCTGTTCAGGACAGGAAGGTGGATTTGCAAACCACTGAATACCATCAATGATTCTGGCCTGAGGCACAACACCAGAACAGAGGCAATAACTTAGAGTTGACAACAGACCTGGAAAAAATGTCCTATCCCTTTAGTAGAGATTTTATGTATGGAAATGGGAAGTTGAAGCTTTCACAGTATGGGGAAAACAGCATCACATTAAGCCTATGTTAAAAGGACAGGACATTGTTTCTCCCAGTAGGCTGGCCTGTTCATAACCGTTATTACCATTTTAGACAACTGAGATAGCCTTGTAGGCAAAAATTCAACTGATGCCAAGAGCTGGCTTTGCACAGTCACTGTTAAAAAGCACTGATTGGGGATATTCTAATCAAAGTAGCAGGTCATCTCTTGAGAAGGACAGGTCCTATCCTACCCCCCTCAAGAGTTACACCTATGCCTTTCACAAAAGCTTAACACAACTGTTAATCAGATGAAGCTTTTCCTGGCATGGAAATGAATTGACAGAAAATGGTTTCCCTACTTAATTTATGTTATGTCAGGCTGCCGCTTAAGGCACAGGGAGCATAATCCGTGATTTAAATAACATTGGCATCATCTGACAAAATTAACATGATGGACAGTCATGGATCTTTTATCTTCTTGAATCTTCTAAGTAACCCATTTTAGGTGATTATTTGAAAGGGCACTGATCAGGCAGCACCAGGGAAACCTTGTTCCCCTTGCCATATTAAAACAGAAGCCTCACACATGTGGGGTTTGCTATGCTCATATGTGCCAACTTCACAACAATGACCCCATTGTTTGCTTCAAGCAGAAGCCTTTTCCCACTTCTATCTAGGGATAACCAGCATCCAGCAATATGTGAGTAGGCTGTTGTAACTGCTTCTGAAAAACACTGCCTTGACTGAAGGCCTCTTTGTGAGAGAAACCTCTCTGCCTGCTTGGTCTTCTCGGAAGAGATCTGAAGTAGCACAGACAGACAGCTATGCCTGTGATAAGCAACAAGTTGGCCTTCTGCCCTGGCTGGATACTTTTGTGTCAGAGCAGAATCTGGTTCTCAAATCTTGTGGGAAAGGAGGAAGAACAGGGCTATAGGGAAACAACTGGGTATTGTATTTAATTTAGCCCTGTGGAGAAACACCATTTTATGTATATGTTTAAGTTGGCGGGGGCTGGATAGGAGGGGACCATCAAGCCTGAGGCAGGCCTTGGCCTAGTCTCCTCCTCATCCCCCCCCCCGTCTCCCACCAGTAGTCAGAGGGCGGCTCCCTCGAGAGGACAGGAAGTCCATCAAGGCGGTGAGGAGATCTGCCCCATAATGCTGCAGGAGGGAGAGCCACTTCCTGGGCTGGAAGGACTGTTTGATATAGTGGAGCTTTTGGGTGGGAAGCCAGTCTATGAGAATAGAGGTCGGTCTGCCTGAAGTCTGGAGCCAGTCAGGCTGTCGGCTGCAGGAGGAGGCAGAGAGGCCATGTTGGGAGTTGTGTTAATCTAACTTCCTCCAGTGGAAGGAAGTCATGTGCCTGCCCTGCAGACCATCTAGACAGGGCATCAGTGTAGTGAAGGGAGAGATGGAGTGATTTATTATTCACCTTCATTTTGATTCTTCAGTTCACTGTTAATAGGCCTGTATATAGTTGAGTGGTTTCAAAATAAATCCCTTTTACTGTTGACATTGGGAAGTCCCTCTGTACCGCCTAGTTCCCCCAGCTGCTTGGACACGCTAGGAGTGGGTTGGGGACTCCCTGAGGAGGAGAACAAGGCAAAATGGCCAGTTGCCAACTCTCCAGGGGAGCCCCGAAGATTGCCAGGAAGCCCCGAGGTGGGTTCCTAGCGACCATCAGAGGGAGGTTAGGAGGCTGTCCCGCCTAACCAGAGCCCAAGACACGGACAGTGGTGGCAGCAATACCCGGAGGCAGTGGTGAAAAACTGCCCCTTCAGGTGCCAGGTCAGGCAAAGGAGGGGTGGGCAGAGCAGGGCCTGCCAGCTGACGTGGGCCCGTTCCGCCACAAGCCCCACTCTTCTTTAACTATTTTTACTCTCCATTAAGATATCTCTTTAGGGTTGATATAAATTTTCAGCACAAAATATGGGGCTAGCAATTCCAATTATCCTTTTTTTTTTAGGGGGACTATGCAGAGGGCAACTAGCGTGCAGCTGTTGCTTTTCCCTTGCAGCCCAGTTACTTCTGCTCACTTAATATAGCTGGAACTCCCCCCTCCCCACAGGAGTTATGCCTGAGGTTCCCACCAAACACTTAGATCATCTCTTAGGGAAAAAAATATTTATTTTCTTCCCATTTTCCCTCTTCACTCAGAGATAGATGGAAGGGTTTTTTTCTTTTACTGAACTTCTTCCAGGGTATAGGTCAACATACCTGTCTCTTCTCTGCCTTTCTCCTCACACCTGACTGCTTGACCAAGACATTGGATAATACCGTTGGAGCTTTCAGGTAAAGACTGAACCTGTATAATAGGCTTTCAACACATTTTTACTACAGTGGACTTATGTTATATTGAATTCCTTTGTTGTGGGCATGAGTGGCTTCTACAACATGGAGGTGACAACACACAAACAGAAGTCAGAGTTGGCTGTGGACTGCCCATGTTTTCCTCCTTCAACAGGGTGCCTCAGCAAACTGGTGGAATCACCGGCATTTCCAGCACCATGCCAAGCCAAACATCTTCAAAAAAGATCCAGATGTGAACATGCTGCATCTGTTTGTCCTGGGAGAAACACAGCCAGTTGAGGTAAGGTTAAGGGGATATGAAGTTGAGCTGAGTTTATTTGTGTTTTTATTTAGGGAATGAATATTCCATCTTTCTGTGCAACATTGTGAGTTGGATCCCACAGAGGATTTCTGCGGACAAGGAGTGTGATTTTCCCCTTATTCTTGCTTCATGCTCTTCTTGGAGGGTTCCCTGTGCTCCAGGAAGAGCATTTGAGGAGAATTCACATATGAGTAAGAACATAAGAAGAGCCCTGCTGGATCAGAGCAGTGGTCCATCTAGTCCAGCATCCTGTCTCACACAGTGGCCAGCCAGTTCCTCTGATCGGCCAACAAAAGGGCATAGAGGCTGAGGCTTTCCCCTGATATTGCCTCCTGGCTCTGGGATTCAGAAGTTTAGTGCCTCTAAATGTGGAGGTTCCCCTCAGTCACCATGGCTAGTAGTCATTGATAGACTTATCCTCCATGACTCTATCTAATCCCCTTTTAAAGCTGTTTATTCCTGGGGCCATCACTACATCCTCTGGCAGTGAATGCCACATTTTAATCCCTCTCTTGGTGTAAAGTAGTATTTCTTTTTGTCTTTCCTGAGTAAAATAACTGTTTGGAAGAAAAGAGCAGTGTTTCTTTGTTTTCAGGTAATGCACCCATGTCATAGCAGGTGCCGTCCCAGAAAAGGCATTTCCTCTTGTGAAAGTGAGGAAAGCTGCCTCTTCTAAGAAGGTGCCTTCCATCCATGGGTTTTGTAAATATTTAAAAATACTTAACAGTTTAAAAAAACCCTGTCTGATTAATCAGAGATACTTTTTTAATACATTTAAAGATTTTGAAACAGATCATCAAACTGATTGATGAAGTACTACAACACTACATCTTTTGTAGTAAATTCCCTTATTACATTTCCAGCCACTTCCAGCTCTCCCATTGGCTGCACTGTGGACTCCCATCAGCCATTGGCCCATCAACCGCCACTCAAGAGTAATCGCGTGCCATTGGCTGGGTGCTGGGTCCGCTCTTCTTTCCCACCCACTGCCACCTCAGACATTGTTTCCTGTCAGAATAACTGCAAAAAGGCTGTGTCTCCCGATGAAGACACTTCTCCTGCTTTGCTCCTGTGGGACTAACCTTTCCCTCTGGCTGTTGCTAGGCAACCAAGCTTGGTTCTGTCAGGAAAAAGACAAAGGAATGAAGCCCTTTCCAGGCCTTTGTGGGGAACTCATTGGGGCCAGTCCTGACTAGGGTTGCCAGCTCCAGGTTGGGAAATTCCAGGAGAATTGAGGGGTGGAGTGAGGTTTGAGGACGGGTGGGACCTCAGGTACAATGCCATAGACAGGCTGGAGCCTCCAAACCAGCCATTCCCTCCTAGGGAACCATTGTTGCCAATCTCCAGGTGAAGCTGGATATCACTCAGAATTACAACTGCTCTCCAGGAGGGAAGGCAGAAGTCAGCTGCAGTCAGAGGGACAGATAATGGTAGGTTGATGGTTGGCTGGGAAGGAGAAAGCATTGCCAACTCCAGGTTGGGAAATTCCTGGAGATTTGAGTGGTGAAGCCTGGAGAGTGTGGGGTTTGAGGAGGGGTTCAACCTCAGACAGGTACAATGCCATAGACTTCACCCTCCGAAACCAGCCATTTCCTCCTGGGGAAGCATTGTTGCCAATCTCCAGGTGGGGGGCTGGAGATCACTCAGAATTACAACTGCTCTCTAGGAGGGAGGGGGAGGAGATGGAAAGCTGAAGTCAGAGGGGCAGATAAAGGTAGGTTGATGGTTGGCTGAGAGGGAGGGTTGCCAACTCTTCAGGTAGCAGAGATCAGTTCCTCTGAAGAAAATGGTGGACTCTGTGTCATTATACCCTGCTGAGGTTGCTACAGCAAATTGACGCTGAGTGCCCAAGGCTGGGGCACTCTCCCAGAGGCTCTTTCTAGTGCTCATTGTATTTATTTCCATAACAGGCCTTATTCCTAGTTCTACATATTGTAGCTTTTGTGTTGATGGAATGTGTCACTTAATTGCTAATGATGAATTCAGATGACACTGAATCACATGAAAACATACTTAGAATATCACTTTGGAGCTGGTTGCTTTCATAGGTGGTCATTTGTAACAGCTGCCAAATGGTGAAGCCAGTCTTACTTCAGGCTTGCTAGCTCCTTATTTCCAGATGACAACAAAGTTGCCTGTACAGCACAGCCAGTTGCTACCATTTTAAGCTAAGTATGTACTTAGGGGGAACTGCGGTGGCTCAAGTGGTTAAGACGCTGAACTGCAGGCTGTGGAAGGTCAGTAGTTCAGCAGTTCGAGACCCGGGTGCTGCATGATGGAGTAAGCTCCCATCTCTAGCTCCAGCTCCTGGCAACCTAGCAGTTCGAAAGCAAGAAATTGCAAGTAGATAAATAGGTACCACTTCGGTGGGAAGGTCTCCGTGTGCCTTGGTGTTTAGTTATGCCGGCCACATGACCACGGAAACATCTTCGGACAGTGCTGGCTCTTCAGCTTTGAAAGAGAAATGAGCACCGCAACCCTAGAATCGGATTCGACTGGCTTTCGAGCAAGGGAACCTTTACCTTTATGTACTTAGGGCAATGTAAATCTTGTGCCTTCTGATACTATACATGGTGGACATGCAAAGTTTATCCCTGCTTTCCATCTGTTTTTCCCCAAACCAAAAAGTGCAAAAACCTTCTAAATCATGGTAGACTGCCACTATACTATTGAAATTCACTTTCAAAAAGATGCCCACTATTATCTGGTATCATTCTGGTAGTCATGGACCACTACATAAGCAATTTATATCCCGTCCTCCCAGCCAAAGCCAGCTCAGGACGGCTTACATAAAAACAGATAAGTTACATTAAAACATAAGTTACAATTAAAACAATTCTAAAACCATAATAAAGTACTAGTAGTCGTTGTTCATATGATGGTAGCAGCCATTATTCAGAGTTCAAAGCTCGCAGTCAGCTCACAGTGTTCATTTTGATCGTCCTTGCAGTGCTTGCTGCTCTTTAGGCTGTTGGTGGCAATTTCCAGAATCCAGGGCCCTCTCACGTTCAACCATCCAGTGTTCTTCATTGGTGGTGGCGGCGGCTCCCAAAAGCCTGGTGGAAGAGCTCCATTTTACAGGCCCTGCAGAACAGTAAAAGGTCCCGCAGGGCTCTGATCTCCTCTCGGAGCTCATTCCACCAGGATGGGTCCGCCACTGAGAAAGCCCTGGTCGTCGACAGCCTCGCCTCCTTAAGACCTGGGAGGGCCAGCTAGTTCTGAGCCCCTGACCGCAGTGCTCTCTGAGGGACATGTGGGGAAAGGTGGTCCCTCAGGTATGTAGGACCCTGACCATGTAGGGCTTTAAAGGTAAGAACCAGCACCTTGAAAAGAATCCAGTATCCTATCGGCAGCCAGTGGTTTCAAGGTGCTGGTTCTTACCTTACCAAGGTGCTGGTTCTTACCTGTCGATGACCAGGACCAGGGCCTTCTTGGTGGTGGCCCCATCCTGGTGGAACGAGCTCCCAGAGGAGATCATAATGAATCCGGTATGCTATCGGCAGCCAGTGCAACGCCTTCAGCACAGGTTGTATGTGTTCCCATCTAGAGAGCCCCATCAGAAGCCTGGCCACAGCATTTTGCACCAGCTGCAGCTTCCAGATTTGAGACAAGGGCAGTCCCATGTAGAGAGTATTACAGTAGTCCAGTCTCGAGGTGACCATTGCATGGATCACTGTCACCAGTTCGTTGCGTTCGAGGAAGGGAACCAATTGTCTGATCAGCCGAAGATGGTAAAAGGCCGATTTGACAGTGGCTGCTACCTGGGCCTCCATAGTTAAGGAGGCATCTAGGAGCACTCCCAAACTCTTAACCTCCAGTGCTGGCACCAATGGTGCCCCATTGAAGGTCAGGAGCGGGATCCCTAACCCCGGCCCGCTCCAACCCAGGCACAAGGACCTCCATCTTCACTGGATTCAATTTCAGTCGGCTCAGCCTAAGCCAACCAGCCACAGCTTGTAGCACCTAGTCCAGATCTTCTGGTTTGGAGTCAGACTGACTGCCCAACAACAGATAGAGTTGGGTGTCATCCGCATACTGGTGACAACCCAGCCCATGCCTCTGAGCAAGGGGGCACATATAGATGTAAAAAAGCATCGGGGACAGCACTGCCCCTTGAGGTACACCACAATCCAGTGGGTGTCTCTGGAACAGCTGTTCCTCTAGCGTCACTCTTTGTCCCTGACCTTGGAGAAAGGAGGCAAGCCACTGCAAGGCCAGCCCCTGAATTCCAATGTCGGCAAGGCAGTGGATCAGTAGCTGATGGTCAACCATGTCGAACACTGCCGACAGGTCCAGCAACAATAGCACTGCCGATCCGCCTCAATCCAGATGCCTCCAGAGGCCGTCCGTGAGGGCAACCAGTGCCGTCTCCATCCCATGGCCTGGGCAAAAGCTGGACTGGAAGGGATCTAAAGTGGAAGCGTCATCCAAAAAGCCCTGTAGCTGAACCACCACTGCCCTCTCTATCATCTTGCTGAATAGGGCAAGTTAGAGACTGGCTGATAGTTGGCCAATTCAGCCGGGTCTAAAGATGGCTTTTTCAAGAGAGGGCGGACCACTGCTTCCTTAAGTGCCTCATGGAACAGTCTCTCCAAGAGGGACTTGTTGATAATCTCCCACAAGGCACCTCAAAACCCCTCATGGCCAGCTTTAATTAGCCATGAAGGGCACAGATCAAGGGAGCAGGTGGTAGAGCGGACAGTTAGGGCAGGAACGCACCGGAATGGAGTTCCGGCTGGCTCCCAAGCTGGCCACGCCCATCAGAAACTCATCAGCATAATAGGCCACACCCAACAGCAGAAACTCATTAGGATTGGCTACATTATGGGTGTGTGGCCTAACATGCAAAGGAGTTCCTGCTACCAAAAAAAAAAGCCCTGGGTTTTGACAACGAACAAGGTAAACAGAATAAGAAGCAAAAGGTGGGTGTGGCCTAATAGGCTAATGAGCTGTGCTGCCAGGGGTGTGGCCTAATATGC